CACTACTTACATGCATTGTTTGGCAAACATGCCATGAAGTGAAATTGTATTCACCATTATAGAATTAATTTTAATTGAAAATCTAAAAAATCAAAAACAAATATGTTTGTCATCATCTATTAATATAATATATATTTTTGAGATATTTATATTTACATAATAATTAAATACATTAAATATTTATCACATTAAACAAATATATATATATAGTGTAGATATAACATTTTTGCATTGGAAAAATACATGTCAGAGCCCATTCAAGATAATAGCATTTTACCCAATAACTACATCTAAGCTACGGAAACTCCATGCTAAACAACAGTATCTGGATATGAAAGTTTGATTTAATAAAATAGATATTTCAGCACAAAAGAAAATAGATATATTTTAATACACATGAATGACACACGCATTGCTTCATATTCTTTTATGTACCTCATAATTCGATAGATATATTTTAATACACATGAATGACACACGCATTGCTTCAATTACATAACCTAATAATGTATTTACAATTCTAAAGTCATTGAATTAAAAAAATCTTTTGACTTTCACAAATTCTAAAACAGTTGGAATAATATTTTTATATTTAAGACTGATCTTATAAAAGACATTTCATATATTAATATAGCAATTTAATTAAGAAAAATTAATTTAAAATCAATTTAAAAATTAATTTCATTTTAGTATTCATTTTTGTAAGTAAATGTGTGCATCAAGAAATGTGATTAAACTCATTATGTGTAGTTAATATAATCAAATTGATAGTCTCAATAGTATACAGATATTGCAATAATATATTTTGTAATTGTACATTTATATATACACAAAACAAATAATTATTTTCAAACAACTTGTATTTTTTAAGATGTATTATCCGATTACAAAATTAATTAAGTTTTTAAACAATTATAAATATGTATCTAAATATTCATATCTTAATAGATAATTATGTATTTTGCACAAATGTACTTAACGTATATAAATAATATTTAGTTGAATAAAAATACTTTGATCTTACATTAATTTTTAAAAAAGATGGTAATGGATCATATTAATTGACTTATGTTTTTAATGTACAAATGGTAAAACTGGTAATAAATTATATTTTAAGATTTATTCAATTAACATAACATAATAAATTTTATTGGGATATATTTACTATAATAATATTAATCAAAGATAAAGATGTTTATATACCTATAATTCATTGTCAATTAAGCTATTATAATATATTAATAAAATATTTTAGCTCTTATTATTATTACTTTAAATAATAATTATTATTATACTGGATACATAAAAAGCAATATTAAGTTATAATAAAATTGATTATATCATATGTACATTATATATATATATATTAACAATGTATAATGTGATTTAAAATTATTTAAAATTGTAATATCTAAAGATAATTATATACAATTGAAAACTATGATGTATATTAGAATAAAATATGTGTATGCTAAAGTCTCACATTTATTCAAACACTTCATTAAAGTTAATCCTTCATGTTATAAAATAATTAAAATAAAAAAATAGCTTTTAATTTTTCTTAATGAAATAATTCAAGGTTTTTTGAAAAACATAGTTTATAAATATTTAAATATGTAATAATTAAAATAAAATGATTAAAAATACTTAATTATTCACCACTCCCTTTACTAATAGAATATATCATACAAAATTAATGGTATATAACATTTAAGTCCCATAAAGATATATAACCTATAAATATGGCTATTATGCAGAATAAAAAAAGTGTAACTACTTACTAGATATATGAAAAAAAAATCTTAATTATTCACAGCGAAACTAATAAGACTACAATAATTTGAAAGAATTGCAATAATCATCAATATCAAGATAACAAATAATTATTAGAACAATGCTTCTTTACTAAAACGTCTAAAGTTCTCATATCTTTATGAGCAATTTCAACAGTTATAATACAATTATAATAGCGACAATTATATTTGAAAATAATAAAATAATATTTCAAATATTTTGTTAATAATCACCCTTAATAAATATTAAAAAAAAATTTTAATTTTAATGATATAAATAGCATATATAATCATTCGAAAGTGCAATTGTAAAGTATAAGCATATAAGATATCAATATATTTAGAATTAAAATTAAAATATAAAAGCAAACTGTACAAAGTCAACAATAGTGTACATATCTAGGGTCATAAATAAATACATATTTCTATTATGTTAAATCACGGTAAAATTTAAATAGAACAATTTTATTTTATTTTTTGCAGACTAAAACAAAAAAATTAAATATAGGCTTTAAATATTTTTAAATACGTTGAAACAATAATATTTCAATTATTTTTTTCATGCAATCTCAAAATTTATATTTCTGTATTATATTTATATATATATTTCTCTATTATACATCTATGTTTACAAATTATATGTTGTAATATGTTAAAACTAAATTTATTATCTCTGATTTTATTTAAAGTTCAGAAAAACCTAATAAACTTATATTCATTTTTTATTAATATAAACACTGTATTTTAACTGTATTATTGTAATTGTTCTTATAAAGTAAAGCACTATTATACTTACAAATTATTGCATGTAAAATATACAATTTATATGCACTGATATATTGTCAGATTACATGTATTCATTCATAAAATTTAGTAATGACAATACTTTCAAATTCAAAAAAAAATATATTTTTTATATTTCAAATGTACGCTATTTAAATGTCACGTGCTTGATAATATGTCCTTATAATTACCACTAACATTTTCTGAAATCCCTGCATCAATTACGAAATTAATTTATTAAAATAGATCGACAGAAAATATGTAAAAGTATAATTTATAAATACTATTTACTGGTTTTCATACAATCTCTAAAATATATGCAGAACTTTTGAAAGTAAGGAATATCACTATTAACTAGAAATCATGTTCCTATAGCATTAAAAAAATTAACAATATACAATTAGTTCTATAAAAAAAAGTATTAAAAAATCCCTTTGCACAATAAAGATTAATGCAAAAACATAACGTACAATTGATATAAAAATAATCTAACGATTATTAGAATTGACTTAGTTTATTATAAATTGACAATAATAGATTGTACTATAATTCACCAAATCTCGTAAATTTATCCATCTCGGTTAAGACGACAATGATCTACACCGAATAAACTTATATTTTCAATATAATAGATAATAATAAAACAAAGTAGCTATTTTCAAGTCTTATCGTAATACTTCTTAGTTGCGGAAAATAAGGGAAATTACTACTCCTAAATTTATTTTATGATTAATTTTTCTAAGCGTAAGTTAACAATAACTAATTTAAATCTGATTAACACAAGCTCCATTACTATTTATTTTTAAATTTTTAAATTTAAGAAATACACATATTTACAAATAAGTTTCAATGATAATAATTATTTTTTAATAATAACATTAAAATTATTTTTTTAACATTTAATTTACTTGATTGAGAAAATAAGAATTCATATAAGTAATGTAAATATAATTGAAATGTGGGTATTAAGAAAATTAAAATTAGAAAAAGCAAAATCATTAACAAAAAATTATATATTCATTATATTTTAATTTGTAATTGCAATATGCATTCTTGCTTGAATAATAAAAAGTATACAAATACCAGTACAAAATTTTTAAATTATAAGTTCTCTGAAGCGCTTGCGCATCGATGTAATAAAATTTCATTTTTAATCTTTATATTAAGAATATTTTCACATTTATTTATATTTTATATTTCGGCTTCTACTCTATATTTCTAATTATAATTTGATGAATTTTTCTCTTCCTTGCTTTTCTGTAATTTTTCCTCTATATAGCGCTATATACATCTCTTTTCTTCTTTCTCTCTTTTTCTTTCGTATTCGTATTCGTGTACGAAATATCTTTAACTATATACTTATCTCTTTATTATTTTATATGCATTATTTTATTTACTATTAATTATTTATAATTCTCTCATTAATCTTTTGTTTTGTATATGTCCTTTATTCTATATTCCTTTTCTGTATATTTTTGCATATATTTGCTGTATGATCACCGCCGAGACTACCAATAAACCTCCACTTCCTTACATCATTTAACAGAATATTTAAATATAAATTATTAATTTGAAATGAAAATTTACCAAAACTTGGTATCATTTTTTCTTTCTTTATTCATTTATTCTCATTACCCTAGTTTTTGCATTCCCTCTCTCTCTCTCTCTCTCTCTCTCTCTCTCTCTGACACCCTCGCGCCCCTCTCCAACTACTATCAACCCCTCTTGGAAACTCTGTCACTGTTTTCTCTTCTTTTCTCTTTCTCACACATACTGAATTATTTGCTACCTAACGGCGCTATCTACCTAGTACCTCCTGCTTCCTAACTCAATGCTCGAGAAAGTGTGACACTGTGAACTTCAACATAGGTCATGCTATGTCAAATAGTAGCATTAATTGCAATTATATTCACATAAACATATAGTGAGTTACTAAGAATCATCGAAGATTAGTAAGAAAGTAAGTAAAAATAACTATAAGAAAATAAAATGCATATTGATTTGGATTTCAAACTAAAATCCAGAAATTTTAAGAAGTTCGAATAAAAACAAAAAATCTTGCAGAATAAAAAAGACAAGTTTATAAAATAAAAATTTACAAATCGATTAATATAGTCATCGATCTAGTATTTCGACAAATTATGAAAAATAAGGCCATTGTTTATATGGATGTTTGACAAATTACTTAAATGAACGATCAACGTCAATTTTTTCATCAATATAAGATTTACATATACTACTACTATGATAATATTCATTAGACAAATAGCTGAAATATTTTTGTTAGAAAAACTGAAACAATCAAAAATTTATACACTCAAATATATGTTCTTAAAATCAACAATCTGAATTTAACTATAAATTAAAATTTGATACGTCAATATGTTATAAAGTAAGAAATGTTAAAAAGCATGCTAGTGAAAAATAAAAAGTTTCTTAAATAAGTGTACGTGTGTATGTGATATAAAACTAAGTAAATAAAAAGGACAAGATGACAAAGCATTACAAAAATCAACAATGTGAAAGCGAATAAATGTGTAAAGTGTAAACCCGCTTGAGATGGCTTGTCCATTTTCTGAATTTACGCAACTTCCCAGTGGTAATAATAATGATAACAATCTGAAGAACGACAAAGACAAACAAAAATGTGGAATACTGTTAGAACATCGTCATCATAAAAAGAATGAAAAATTGAAACCTTGTAGACAATCTTCGGTTCAAATTACTTCATCATTACTGGGGGAGGATGTGGAGGAACAGGCAGAAACACAAACGCTGAATCTTAAACACCTCAAAGCTGCAGTACTCATGTTGACCAATCCATCGGTAAGATAATGTAGATTTAAGCCGGTAATAAATATAATTTTCATTTGTAACTAAAAAGTACGTTAAATTTGTATATTCCGAATGATAAAATTAATTTATAATGTGACTTTAATTAAACAAATATAATTGACAAAATATAATTTTATACATTAGGTTTTACTCGCTATACTTGTTGATATAACCATTTGATCGTTTAACAGTTAATTTTTATTTATTATTTTATATAATTTCATTTATATAACTTCTATATAACATCTATATAACTTTTATGTTCATATATTTTATATAATTTTCACGTTTATATATTTTATAGGAGTTATTACAGTAAATTATTTATATAACTAATTCATATTTTGTTTTATAATATAACATAATGTGAAAATTTTTAAAGAATTGTATTCTATGATATACTGTTTTAATTCATTAGCAATGTGTTGAATTTGTATCATTATTAGAATCATTTTTTTTTATAAATAGAAATTAAATTTTCATGTGAAACAAATCTATGAGTACTAATCAAAAACAAATTTCTTACAAAATTTTATTTACATTTTTGTAATTTATTTACATTATTTTGTAATATGGACAATATTTTATATAAAAAATGTGAATAATAATATTAATGTAAATATAATAAATAAATAATTTAAATATTGTTTAATTATTTATAAATGATACGAGCTATGAGAAGATAGCTTAAACTACTAAGCATCATAATATATTCATATGTAAATATATTTAATTGTAATTATATAATCAACAGATATAATTGAAAAACTTAATTATGAATGTTATAAATGTAAATAAAAAAATTATATAATCATTATTCGGGTTCATTATCATTTTTACAGTATTATTTAGGAATTATAATTTAAATATACCAAAATTAACATTTTAACTTTATAAATAATTTTTTCAATTCCCTTAAAAACTATAATGTTTTAAGTGAATGTTAGACTGAAAAATTGAATATATCAAGAAGATTTAAAACAATATATTTGAACAAAATTCTTATATTATACTCAAACAAAACAAAATCAAAACAAAAGTCTTACATTACTTAAAGTATTGTAGATTTTTTTGATACTTTTATATAATAATTTCTTTTAATGAAGTACGTAATATTTTCCATCAAAATTTTTATAAAGTAAAATTGATATCGATTCGTAAAAATAAAAATACAATTATATTTAACATAAAGTTTTATTTTACGCCCTTAAAAAATTTGTAAATTGAATAAAAACTTGAATATTAGATAAAAAATTATAATACTTCTTTGATTTTACTATGAGTTGATTACAACTTTTAAAGTTACCAATACATTGAATAATTCATTGAATATAATTTGAGAATTTTTATATAAAAAAATTTATTTAATTTTTAAATAAAATATTATTAAAATATTATAATAATAAAATTAATTTATATATTGAGTGTAAAAATCAAGTATGAATTGACAAGAAGTACCTACAATTTCATGTAAATTTTTCACAAAATCAGAATTTATAAATTAACATTTGCATGTCGTTAATATCAACTTATGTCTAGCTAGGAATAAAACATGTATTGAAAATATTCTTGAGTGCAAATGTATAAAAAACATTATTAACTAATAACCTTTTTAATTAAAGTGTGATTATTAGATGATTTCGAATTTAACGAATAACAACATTGATTATAGCAATATAAGCTAAATTAAAAGTTTACTTACTGTATTTTATATTTATTTTAATAGAAGAGAGAAAATAAATTAGTAAATCAAGTTACTATTATAATCCTATTTTCTGTATTAAAATGATTTACTTATAGACATAAATTTTTTAAGTATATTATAAAAGTAAATTATTTTTGAAAATTATAATAAAGCCTATACAGAATAACTTTCTAATATTGAAAAACGAAAATTATTTAACACATTAATATTCTTTACGTATATACATACATTAAACAATTTAACACTTTCAAACATAATATTAAAAAAAAAAAATTAATTTTTAATAATATAATATAATATAATAAATATAAAAATATAAATAAAAAAATTAATCAAACATAAAATAAAAAAAATTTTATTTTGTACGAAATAAAACCAATTTAATACAGAAAACTATTGTCCTGATAGGTTTGCATATTCAAACTTGAACTTTTTATAATTAATATTTTATTCTTATAAAAAGTATTGTAGTGTAATTTACTCATTTATAATAAATACATTTCTATTTCTTAATTTTATGCTTAGCAGCAATTTATTTTTCTTCTCTTAAGTCTTTTTTCAATTATCTTTTATTCTTATTTGTTTACTTTCCCATATATTGTTAATATATATTATATATTATATATATTATTTTCTTAAGGACTCTATCGCTCCCAGTATATATTTAATTCTTTATTCACCATTATTTTTCATAATTCTTGCATGAATAATATTTTCTTATTTTCAGTATTTTTTGTATTATTTTGTTACTGTTTATTACTTTTCATTTGATCAAATTTTTATTTTTAATTTTTTTATGTAAATACTTTGGTGTTTCAATATGATAAATTCTTATGTAGGCTTTATTATGTTTTATTTCATAATAATTGAAATTTATTATTTCTATATTTTAAACATTTTTCCTTGCTTACATTTTTAATAAAATCTTCTACTTCTTTTCATTTGTTGATGTTAATTTTTATATACATATATCTAATTTAATTTATCTTGCTTCATGACATTGGCTTAATTCTGTTTAATATTGTATATACATGATTACTAAATATTTTGTTGACTTCTCTTATTTTCTTTATATTTTATCATCCTTTTAAAAGCTGTTACTTTATATACTAAAATTTTTGTCTTATATATACTATAGAATTTATTATTGTATTAAATTTAAAATTCATTTAATAATATGCTAATTAATAAGATAAAATTCATTAATGTTTATCGAAATTCTAATTATTTTAATTAAATTTTTGAACTAATAATATAAAATTTCTTTATCATAATCACTGTTATTATTCGTGTAATTTGAAATGCTGTATTTTACTTTTTTAAGAATGATGTTATGGCTGTAGCTTTAGAAGCACTTTTAAAGAAAAATGAGGTACCACTTTCAACCTCGGCATCACTGTAAGTAAAATTTATATTTTTTCTATTCTTCTAAATAATAATAATAATAATAATAATAATAATAATAATAATAATAATAATAATAATAATAATAATAATAATAATAATAATAATAATAATCTATATAAACATTATGCTAGATGGTTTTTTCAACTTCATAATTTAATATTCATAGAAATAATGAAATATTATGTTTTCATAAAAAATTTCGTATAAAAATTTACTTTATCTATTGTACTAATTTTTTTAGTACATTTATAATTTTTCTGTACTTATTTATAATATTAATATATTCTTTCATTTTGACTGATATGGCGGAATTTATTTTTTATTTGAATATTATAGATAGAATTAATTACTAAAGTAATTATCGGATATTATAATATTTGCTTACGTATACAAATTATATACAATTATTTATTAAGTTTAACTCATATATGTAAACTATTTATTTAAACAACTAAAAATAATATTTAAGGTTTTTTCCTACTTCTCTATCTTACTATCTCTATGCCCTTCCTATATAAATATTTTTTCTTTATAATTAGATCAGATCAATATAATTAAAATATGGATAAAAATATTGTCAACAACACTATAAAGTATTAAGCATTCAAAGATACCACAATTTAAATATTACTAAATAATTTTCTGTTTTATTCAATCACATAAATAGAATGACAAATATAATTAATTTTGAAACAAAAGTAATTTTTAAATATATAAACTAACCATTAATACATTATTAATATGTATTGTTTCTATTAAAAGAAATGTACTGTTGAAAATGAGTTTATTCAATATATAATATTTATATGTATTTAGACAATAAAATAGCATTTTCATCTAGTAAATTAAAAAATTTTTACTGAAATATATTAAAAAAAAAGAATAAATTTTCTCCAATATATTATTCTGATATATAAGTAATTTATAAAATAATATACGTACACCTGATTAGTATATTATTATATCTAATTTTTTTATTTTTATGAATAATGAATAAATTAGAAATAAAATTCTATGACAAAATTAATAATAAATATTAATAATATTAAAATATTAACATAAATATTGATTTAGAATGATCATTTACGATAAGCCTCTTTAGAACTCATATTTGTTCGTATGTTATTAATGAAATATAACAAGTTAAATTAACACTGCTTTTGTTGTATTTCAGAGAAAAATTGCTCATCAATGTTGAGATTGAGGAAAACTACAACCTCTTAGAGGACATTTACGAAACACTTAACTATGATTGTGGTAAGATATTATAGCGGAATAAAAAATTATTTTAATAAAAATTTAACATAAACACAATAGAACTGTAAAAATTAATATTACCAACTATTATTAATTGTAAAGAATTTAAAAAAAAAAACTAAAATACTAAATAACATGATAAATAACATGTCAATTTCGCGTTACTACGATCCATATCGACAGATAATATAAAACCCTTAGAGTTATACGTATCTCTTTTCATCTGTATAGAATGAATGTAAAAAAGATATTGTAATTTCAATGACACATCAATTGTTTTTGTTAAATCAAGAAAACATAAATTTGACAAAATAAAACAAAATTGTATTGTATATTAATTTAATATAAACAAAGGATTTCATAAAAAATGGATACCAACAATATCATAATGGAAGTAAGGTTCCGCCTTATGACAATTCAGTGGAAGAATTAAGACACTATTATTCTGTTGATCTTATTGAAAAAGATATATTTATTACAATATTGGTAATTTATAACCATTAAAATAACTGGTTTAATTTAATTCGTTTCCTTATAAGCATCATTAATATAGAGAAGGAAAGAAAAGAGTTGACTTTTTTCCAATTTTTAAGTGACGTCGTTAAAATTAAAAAAAATCATTATTTAATTTTTATATATCGGAAAAATACATTAAAAAAATCCTTATATATTTTCATAATTTATAAAAATAAGTAGTTTTAAATTTTGTAACAATATAAGTAATGTACAATGTAAAGAATATATTTTAATCATTTAATAAGCAAATAATTGCCTACTCGGAAAGTTTTCTAATAAAATCTTCTTCTTACTTGATAGCTGAAGTGTAATAGGCAAAACAATGTATACATTGATGAATATTGCTAAAAAAACAAAGAGGAAATGTCACTGCAGTTTTCAAAATATATATGTTTATATTTTTTAATTTTGTGTTTATATTTAATTCAATATTACTTACTATTAAACAATCGTTAATTTTTATTTCTTAATAGTTAATTTGGTATTATATTTTTTTCCTTTTTTGGAATTGCTTTATTTCATTATATTAACTTCAATTTTTTTTGCACTTTTTACAATTAGAATATTTTATTAAAAGGCTCGTATTCCTATAGTAAAAAATATATGTTCTGTATCAGCCCTGCTTGTTATATATATGCTATATTATTTATTTTTTATATATTAATTGTCTCATTATTAGTATATCTCAATTGTTTTTATCTCTAATAACTCACACACTCTTATAATAGATTGTTGGGTAAAAAATTCATTTTCTTTATATAAACAGATACATAATAATAAATGCATATAATATATACTAATGACATTATCAAAAATCGGCTTTGTTACGTATTAATATAGTTAAAGTTACGATGTTTTTAATCTTTTAATTCTTAGAAATTACTAATGAAATCCATAAACCGAGTAAATGGTTACTTATTCTAATAGTTTTTATATATTTATTGATTTACAAATGAATAATAAAAATATTATTATCAATTGATACATTGAAATTTTTTTAATTTTAAAAATTAAAAATTTTTAATAATTTTTATTTACAAATCTATTATATAATTAGTTTTTTTTAAATTTATAATATAATGATTTTCTCTAAATTTATAATATAATTTTAACACTAATACTTTGTAGTTCAATTGTTATACATTCAAGATCTAATAGTTTTTAATATACAATTAATTTTTTAAATGTATTTGTATTTTAATTTTTTCCATATAAGTTAATCATGAAAAATGCTTGTATGATTTATGTAACATTTATTTATTTTCAAACCAATATGATTATCTAGATAATTATAAAAGAAAAAATCTATTTATAATGGTATGTCTTTAAAGAATTAAATGTTTTAATAAATAATACTTTTTTAAAAAGTATATATTTCTATATTCTCTGCAATATGCAACAAAATAATATTTGTGAGAAGAAACAATTGCTTTTCATCTGCAGAAAGCAGTCATTACATATAATGTCATATAGATTAGATCTGGGTTACTATAATCGATTAAGATTAAAAAGAGAGGGAGATAAAGAAAAACAGAGAAAAAGAAAGATCCAGATAACTTTTCCTGATTAATTGGTAGGAAAAATGAAGGAGACATCGTAAGTAAGAAAATCAATAAAAAAAATTAGTGAACATACAATCATATCAAGTAAGCATAAGAAACAATGAGCGAGTATAAACATAGTAGAACAAGCGAATATATTAAAGTAAGCTTATAAGCACTTATAAACTATTGAAAAATATGAATTTTATGCATTTATATTTTATTCATATATATATATATTTATGCATGCATTAAATTATCAAATTTTAATATAAGATATATATATCATTTATTTAATGTATTAACGGCATAAATTTATTTATAAAAATTTTAAAATAATAATCTGCAACAGTTATAATCTAATTATAGCAAGACATTATTTTAAAAATTTGATAGAAATTTTTATTAATTTAGAAAATGAATACATAATAATTTAGAAAAAATATAAGCCACAATAGTTTTTTGCATAATTTCTCTCTTAATCTAGACAAGTAGTTCTATGTTATACTGAACTATTTGTAATAATATAGAGGGAAGACGGGATATATATGATATACTTTATTTAAGAAAAATCAGTTGTCGGTTCGATTTTTCGTTCGGTTCTATAATTTTATATATAAACAATATCTAATTATCTAATTTATATGTAACTTCATTAAAAATTTAAATCTGAATTATTAGAATTTACCATTGCTATAATAATACTTTAGTAAAATTCTATACTCAATCAGAAAATAAACACTTACTGCAGTTACTGAAACTCTAGAATAGTCGATAAACTAATAAACAACGTAACTAACGAAACAGCTATAAGCTTGAGGCAAGTTTTAATAAAAGCAAGCCGAATTGTCCATATAACCGGTACTCATTTCGAAGGGCTTATATTTAACTGGTACACACGATATCATTCAAATCATATGTTTTTCTTTAAAATACATGCAATTCAATACACTCGTCATAGTGATATTTTGCACATACAATGAACTGTTTTTTTATTCAAATTTCAGAAATCGACCCAAATGATTTCCTCGATAAACTTGGACAACAAGTTATAGATACCGCATGTATTGGCCTTTTGGAGCGTGCGTTTCGATGCCTTGGAAATGATCTTACCGCTTTTCTTACGACTCTTGATGGGGTTAATGATGTGGTTCAGCATCAGTCTGGGACAGATACTGAAGCTGAATTCGTTTGTATAGCTACATCTACTGGCCTCGAGCTTCACTTCACAACTGATCACCCGTCTATAGCCTATTTGCTGGTTGGTAGCCTTAAAGGCGTTGCCCGACAATTTTATAAAGACAAAGCTGATGTGTATATACTTCCGGATCCATATAATACCAAATTTTTTAGGTAAGTATTAAATTAAATTTCTTATTGAAAAATAATCTAACATTTTATTATATCCAATTACTCTACATTCTAAATATTCTTCTAAATTTATTACCTGATCCCAAATAGTGTTCCTTTAACATTATCTTTTTCTCTCTAATGCCCTCAATCGGCAAAACTAATTGTAAGTGTAAGACTCATAATTGATTCATAATTTTATGAAGTCGACTTATTTTAAAATAAGAAAAACTTAATTGAATATGTTTTTATAATGCTTTGATATTTTAAGGTAATAGTGAGAATCTTCATTCATTGATAATACGTTACAAAAATTCGATTTATTTAAAGTATAACTAACTATTGAATCTCAATGTATGTAGTATTATCATTTAAACTTGTGAAAATTTCGTTTCCAGAAATAGATAGCAGAAGTTCAAAAATGAAAATTATATCAGTTTTTCTCAAACTTTATAAAGTATAAGATAAGCATGAAAAAGAAACAGAAAAATGATTGCACACCGGATTTATCTTAATAATTATTACTTTAGAGAGTAAGTCTTAATAAACCCCTGAGCTTCTGTGGATTACATTTAATTCATATAATTGTTAATAATTTATACTGAATACATCTTCACTATAAATTGACATTGTAAATTGAATTAAATTTGTCTTAAAATAATTTAATGCTTTTGCTGCATTACAATACTCAATAATTTATAAAATGAATTATTAAAATAGATTTGAAAATAACTTGTTTGAGAATTTAAAATTTGCAACAGACATATTTCCGGCAACTCCAACAATTCTTTAATTTGTGTATCACACTTTATATAGTTGATTATTACAAGCGTATTCAGTTGAAAAGAATTTTACTATTTATAACATATTGACGTTTTACTGTTTTAATAATTAAAATGTTTAATTTGAAAGATTGATATTTAAACAATTTTTTAATGTACAAAATATATTAAAATCTAGAATTAATTATAACGGTTCAATAATTATTATGTTAATTTTATAACAAATACTATCATACTATCAACCACATTGAATAACGTTAACGCAATAAATTTATTCAAATTGTTGCAGCGATTGAATTATCCCACAAAAATAAGTTAAATTGTTCAGAACTTATTTCGTGAAGATCGACCAAAAGTCACGAACTTCTACTCCCTCTAATCACGACTCTACTGTCGGAATCGCTTCTATTGCGGTGTATCTCTAGCAATGACAGCACGTATTATATGCTATATATGATCAACGATTATTTGCGCTACGACTTTATATATTCATATTAATGCAAACATATTGCGAGTTATTATAATGTCATAATAATAAATTTTATAAAAATAAAAGTAAAATTTCAATAGTTATATTCAGTTACGCAATTGCTAAACGTTCTAAAAATATTATTACTATTTATAACATATGGATAAAATTACAAAATCAATATTTTTTAAAAATATTTTATTTGATTTTATTTTATGTAATATATTTAAAAAAAACTGTTTTTAAATTGAATTCATTCAATGATACCAAATAACTTAATTCAATTTAGATATGTGTTTAATCCACAAAATGAACTGATTGTTTTTTCAAATATCAAAGCACGGTTTAAATAGACTAGGTTACGAAATCATATTTTTATGTAATTAATTCTAGTTTTCGTTTCATTAAATTCATATAAAATTGTCAGACTTTTACAAATGTATAAATTAAACAATTCAGTACATACTGAAAAAATAGACGAATCTATTTGTAAATTATTGTGAGTTGAATTGTGAATTTAAAAAATGTTAATTATTTAAATAATAATAATAATTTAAATAGTAAGTTAAATAACAGTTACATGGATGTAGTCTTAGATTTACCTTATATTATAATAATTGAATAATTTATTTATCTTAACTATATAATAACGTTTACCGATTACTAAAATAAAATATAACTGGTATTTCTATATAAATTAAATTGTTAGACTTATATCATTACTTGATTTAAAAATTATTTTTTATTTTTTTCCTTAGTTTTAATCTAGCATTGAACTTTTTATTATGATTTATATTTTTTTGAATGTTTAATTAATATTAATTTTAAACTCATTAATTTTTTGTTATTTATAATTTTAAAGAAATATAAAATATTATAATTAAACCAATTAATCAAACTATTTTTATTTGAGTTACTTCGAATATATATTTTATTCTTAAATCTGTCTATATATTATAATTAGATATATTAGTATTTATCTTAAAACTATTAGACAATTAAATATTTATATAAAATTTGGAAATAATAATAAATATAGTGCATATATAATAAAAAATTTAAATGTGATAATATTCTTTGACATTTATTCCAATAAAAAATCTGAAGAAAAAATGTGTATTAAAAAAAATGTCATTTTTGTTTATTCTGAAAAAAAAGAATATTTTTCTATGACATTAATATGTCGCATAAATAAATTTCATGTTTACAGATATCGCATAACTCCTGAATATTTTAAAAATCAGACAAATACAAGTACAGATATAGAAGGGAAGATCCATGAAAAACAACAAATAGATAACTCCTCTTATTTTCCCTCATTATCTCATAACGCATCAGATCTACGTATCGGAGTAGCAAGTTTCTGCAAAGCTTTTCCCTGGCATTTCGTTGTCGATCGAAATCTTGAATTTGTGCAGCTGGGTGTGGGATTCATGCGCATCTTTGGTGATTATTTAAATAAATACGGAAGTGATATATCAACTTACTTTATCTTTACAAGGCCCAGAGGCGTAACTTTAACTTTTCATGAAATCCTTAAAAGATCAAACACGCCTTTTGTATTGACACTACAGAAACCTGAGCAAGCCGATGGTTTCCAAGCTGAGGTAAGAGTTTTTAAAAATATTGATAAATTTCCAAATAATTTCAAACAGTTTTTAAGAATATATTTTGTATTACATATTATTACTATTAGTATTCCATAATTAATTACTAGGAATAGTAAAACAAAAATTAAAACTAAGCATTTTCTCAATAAAAATATTTTTAAAAAATATTGCTATAAAATTAATTAATTGATTATATACAATAAAAATATTAATGAAAATAATACACGATCTTAATAGTAATGATAAAAATTGAAATAATTATCAGATTATATAATTAATATTTTCAAAACAGAATTTCACATCAGTTATAAAAGAGTGATTAGTTATATATTAACTTTTATTTATGATTGACTGACTTATATTTATTATTCAAAAAGATATGTTGTTTATAATAGATTATAAATATAATCGAACTATAAAAGTTTTGATGATAATTATTAAAATTCACTCAAATTATTTAGATGTTGTAACGAATTATCTTAATCATATTAACATAAAAATATGATCATTTTAGTTTTTGGAAAATTAATGAAAAATTACGTATTATTATCTAAAAAGACTAAGAAAATTTTGTTAAATTCATAGATATAAAATTTGTTATGTAAGGACCTAAATATTTTTATTACTTTTATTTTTAGAGTTCCAACTGTTTAAGGAATTAAAAGTAAGAAAATAAACGGATAATCTAATCATTGAAATGTAGTATTAATATAATTTTTAATATAGTTATTATAGAAAACGAATATAAACCGAAAGAGAGATTTCAAATTAAATCAATACACGCACGTATATATATATATATATATATATATATATATATATATATAAATTATCCACATATTTAATACATATAATTTTCAGATTCAAAATTAATGAAAGAAAACACTTAAAAAAAAAGAAAGTAAAACAATACAATCACATCGAAAACTTTGCTTTAAAAAAAATATTATTCTAAGCACATGTATTTATTGAAATAAATTTATGAGACTTAAATTTCTGATAAAATCGATAGATTAAAATCACAAGGTTCTGAAAGTATAACTACTATAAACAAACTACTATAAACAAATGAGGATAAAATAGAAATATTCTTGAATGCTTGTGATATAGAGAATGAAGTTATAAAATGCTCTGTGGTATTATAATAGCCATAATGATTGACATTCTGCTTGTCCTTTTTGAATTTACCGAAAACATATCATAATATATATATAATAAAATATTATCATTTAATAAATATACTCTTCTCAAATATGATAATATTCCTAATGTTTTTTAAAATAGAATTAGTAAATAATGAATAAAATCTGTACAGAAATGAGAATATGTAAGAAATATTTCATTCATTTAAGTATTCATTTAAATAACATAAAAATTATTGAATGCATAATATTCTATTATAATAAAGTAGGTGGATACCTTTGTCCGTTACTGAATGTTAAAGTTATAAAGTATTGATTACATACTAGCAAGTTTAAACACGCAGTTTAAATGTATTCTTGTATCTAGATTAAAACAATAATTCTACCCTACATACCGCTTTCTTGCTTGAATACAAATAATATGTATGTATACTCAAATAATCGTAATATTTAAAAAAATTGTCAATATTTAAAAGACAAATAACAATATTATAATCTATAAATAAAATTATATTTTACCGAATAATTTTAGTAGTGCTAACCATTGATGTACAACATGTGCATACAAAGTAATATTTAATTGGTTTTCGTACTTTTTATTTTTTCTCGCAATAAAATTACGTAATTTAATACGAAGCAATAAAAAATTGAATGGAATAAACATTAATGTATTATTGAAATCTTAATATATATATATATATATATATTTAAACAACGTAAAAGTTATTATTATTTATTCTTTATATCTACATATGCGCACACGTAAATATTGGTTATCATAGCCCAATATATCGGGTTAGAAATGTTTCTTAAGTATTGATCTACATTTACATTGTAGGCATATGAATTATTTTTCTAAATTTATAAATATATCGCTACAAAGTTATCCCGAAGTGAAAAAAATAATATCATAGTAGGGTTATTAATGAAACGAGGAAGTTAGCTTAAATTGATCTTCTATTAACATAAAATTTTTAAATAAATTCCTTTGGCACTAACAATATAATATGTATATAAACAGAAGACGAATTTATTATTAATTCCTCGTTATAATATATCTATATACATTTAATCCAAATACAAAACATAATTCTCATAATAACGAATATCTTTCCTTTTTCAAATATTAAGTATCATTCATTTCTGTAGTTGAAATATGTAACTACTATTTAAAAATATTTAAGAATGTTAATATATTATTTATTATATATTAATTATATATTACTATATATAATATATATGTTTTATATTATCATATTTATTTTATATTTATTGTCTATTATACATAATATATATTATCAATTTATTAATATTAAAATACTAAATGAATTCATTTGTATTTACAAAATAAACTCGATTAGTAATTAAAATAAAAGCAGAATTTGTCTTTTTATCGCTCGTTTTTACTATATACATTATATATTTCTTTGTAATTAATTGAAAATATCAACTGATACATTTGTAAAGTCGTTTATTCAATTAATATTTTGCATTCAATTATATTCACATGATTTCAACTTAATTTCTCTATCTTTTTCTTTGATAATTCAATCTCTAATTTTTTTCCTGTAATATATATTACGCAAACAATGAACGCACACCAAATACACGTACGCTTTTTTGTTCATTAATGCTAGAGTATTAGACAAACTTATTATGAATCAACGAAATTTCATGCCGTTTTACAATATTCATACTTTACTCTTCTTACTACTTTATTCTTCCCCCTAAGTAAAAGTTTGTTTTCATAATGCTTGTATAACGTACATAATATGCTGAATAAGCACATATAATTCTCGGTCATATATTTTTTATCTATCTTATAACTGTATAATCTGATTTCAATAAATTATTATGAACAAATAAACTCTATTTAGGAAGCAATAATATTTTTAATATAAATAATATGTTAATACTTGTCCAATCGCAATATATTATTTCTTAATTCAAGTCGTTTGAAATAATACATGTTGTGAATAATACAATTAATTAAATCTAAAATAATTCATGACTCATGTGAATTTTTTATTTTGTATGAAAATAATTCAACTAAAGTTATCATATATTCATCGTTTTCAGTTTTCAAGAGAAAACTCACCCAATACATACATTATCGTATTTTGGAAATAATCTTTTTAACTGTAACAGTAAGTGATAAGTGTTTTAACAAATTATTATTATTATATTTAAGTTTTATCTACAGGATATAAAATTTAATATTTACTATAGCAAATCTTCTTTATAGGCAGAATTTTTTATATAAGGCATGAATTCTTTTTTCAATAATTAAATTGTTTTATATTAAACAAATAAATGAAATATACTGCAGTTTGTTTAATGGCTATTCTATTATTAAAAATGTGTTCTTTTAAATTACCTTTTAAGAAAAACTAGCTAAATGTTTTAAAGAATGGACCCAATAATAAGGTGACACGAATTTCAATAAGAATCTCCGGATGAAATAAATAAAAAATAAACGTTACAAATATTTGACACAAATTAAAGTACTTTATAATTTATTTATACTATATTTTTTAATACTATTTATAATTTGAAATTATTTGTATCTAATTAAAATATATTGTAGATCAAATTATTTATTTTTATATGAATTTGAATTATTTAATTTTTATTTTAACATGAAAAACTATTTATATATTTCAGGTTTTCTAATTTATTTATCTTTATTTTATTTAATTATTATAATCGTTAATATTAATTATAATAGCGATTTTATAAATTAAAAAAAAAACACAATTCTTTCATACTGTTGCGTCCTAAATAATTTATATTGAATCGATGTAAGTTTATATAAGAAAATGTCATATAATATACTTTACAATTCCAAATAAATGATTATTCTTAATATAATATATCATAGAAAGTCTTATAAAAATAAGAACAGAAAAGCATACAAAATATATCATAAAATATTCTAAAATTATTATTATTTAAAATTCCGTTTTATACTTATGTCCTTTATAACAGATCTTAGGAAAGTCAAGATTAATTTATAAGAATATAAAGTATAAAACTAATGATTACTTGTGACAGTTAATGAATAAATTTTTTATTTTAATAAAACGCTATTAAGAATTTATAGCACTGATATTGATGAAAATAGGAATACGATACCACCGGCATCTGTTCTATATTCATCAGTACCTAAAATAAAACCACTTAACACTGGATTATAATATCAACGATAGGACGAATAATCACGTCAATTTTTTTTTGTATTTGCCACCGACAAAGTAAGAATAAAAACTCAATTAGCATCAACGAACTATCACATTCCAATCTTTAATGGTCAGAAGTATAACCTCGTTAAAGGGAAAAAGGAAATTAATACTAATTATTGTTTTTACAGTGCGAAAAGTGCTGCATATAATATCAGTCTCACGAATACAAATTTAATATTTGCAATAATGATAATTAGCAAAAATTTTTAATTAAGGCACTTGATTAATTAAATTAATTCAATTAATTAACAATTAAACACTTGACTATACCACAAAATTAAATTTTCGATTTTAAAAAATTTTAAGGAGAGCTCTTCTAATTGGAAATATAATTATAACTTGTTGATGGTAATATATTGAGATGTGAATAATGGATAAAATGTCTAAAAATTATGTATAATAAATGCCTTCCTCGTCCGTACTAGACTACAAAAAATATAATAAATTATAAAATATTCTTCTTTTATAGCATTTAATTCATGTTTAAACTGTTAAAGGGGCTCGAATTCAAAGGACAAATGGTTCACTGTTCAGAATCGGACTCTATTCTTTTTGTCAGTTCGCCATTTTTAAATGGTTTAGAAGGACTCACTGGTCGTGGTCTTTTTATTTCGGATATTCCACTTCATGATGCAACCAGAGATGTGATCCTTGTCGGTGAACAAGCGAGAGCTCAAGTATTTAATTTAATAACTCAATTAAAATATTAAAAATATAAAAGCATAAATTAAATAATACAATTAATATTTTTAAACTCTTCTAATGTATTTTTTATAATTTAATGTCACAAAGTGATATTCAAGTAATTGCATGATAAATCTAATTTCTGTATTTAGAAATTTAACATATTTTAAAACATTAACATATTAGCTTCTATTAATAGTAAACTACATGTTGACATAGTTCGTACATATAACATAATATTAATTAAATTTACTTGAGGTAATATATGGATTTATTTAGAAAGAAAAATATTTTTTAATGTATATTTTACTCTGTATCTAAATAAACAATTATTTTTATATAAACAGGATGGCTTGCGTCGGCGCATGGATAAATTAAAGAGTTCAATTGAAGAAGCGAACCGAGCTGTCGATGCTGAAAGAGAGAAAAACGTTAGTCTCCTCCATCTTATCTTCCCACCAGATATAGCGAAGCGTTTGTGGCTAGGCAAGTGTTTGTAAATTCATACATATCCACACGTATATTAAAAATATATAAAGAATAAATACAAGATATCGCTATATATATATATATATATATATATATAAACAGATTCTATTTATATTTCACCTTTTTAAATTACATATTATACATTATAAATAAATGACGTAATATTTTAGTAACTCAACAAAATTTTAGAGAAATTAAATTATCGAAAAAATGATCGTATTTTACGTTGTGTGTTATATATTATACATAAATAAAATGAAAGTGCATTAACTGCAATATTTAGTAGATTATTTCACTTTAGTATATTTCAATTACCTACGTTCGATAATTGAAACGTGATCCGAGTGTCCTCGAATATGGAAAGAAACTCTAAACCTTGAAATTGGACAATACAATATATCTAAGAATCGATTAATATAACCCTGAATGGAATTTTTAATGAGAAGGTCGTAATGTTACAAGAAAGCATTTGCAAAAGATATACTATATATAATGAAATAAGTCGAAGAACTATACAATAAAATATGAAGTAATAGCAACAACATTTTAAAAAATTTCAAGAAAAGATATAGCTTTTAATATAGCAATAATTTTAACTCAACGAAATCTATACTGATTAATGTTATTCGTGAAGCAGTGATTTCAAGTACAAAATCACAAAATGTAAAAGCAAAAACTACAAAATTACTAAAAGGTTGCTAAATCACAAAGAAGTTAAAAAATAATAGCACAAGGTCAGTTTATAATTACTTAAATTTAATAAATACATATTCAATTAACTCACATAATTACTTATGAACAAGCGTAAATTTAATTGAGTATATAAAAATAGACGGAGAATTTAAAAAGAAAACTAACAAAATATTAATGTTTCTAATTTATTAACTAAGATTTTATTTTTCTTGTAAAACTAATTTAATAACCTTATCGATATTACAATCTAGTTAAATCAGTAGAGAATTATGCAATTTTTAGAATAATTAACCACCATTATGGAACCCATTTTCATCTTTAATTGCAGCTTTTTTACTTGTCAAATGAACCGTTCTTGATTACAAAAGAAACTCGGTTTAATTATAAGCTTCGAGACAAATAAAAAAATGCTAAAATGGAAGACACGAAACATGGTATCACATCTTCTTCGCTGCTTATAATAGATCGCAATGACGAGATCATTTGTTTTATTATTTATTTCTTGGATTATGAACAAGCATATTTAAACTGACAAAAGAATTTAATTCATTACAAAGTATCTAGATTATCATGTAATGATCTATTGAAATCGTTACAAACTCGTAATAAAATAGACTACTTAATTAAATTACAAATTTCAAGGTGTATAGATAAAAAGAAGTTTGTAAAGTAGACTTATCTTTACAAAAATTATTTCTAATAACGTTACAGATGATAGTGCATCATTGTATTCCAACCTAAGATACCATAATTTTGTACGATAATTTTTAAATTAATAGTATTTCAGTAAATTCACCCAATAGATTTTTATTTTGTTAATCATCAATTTAAAAAAATTTCGTATAAATTAAACTTAATTTGGATTTTTAGCAGTTCCGAAAAATATCCAACATAGATATCAATTCAGACCGATGCTAAATACTAAATATGAAAATTTTTATTTTAGAGAATATTGCAGAAAGCACTAATTCAATGACAATCTATTTATTGAATAAAAAATGTTCTGTATTAAAACAATACAAAAAATCAAACTGCAATTAAAAATAATTAAAAAATGATTATATGTTATGATATATTATGTAATAATACATTTTACATAATCTTGTTGCCTAAAAATATTATTGGCCATATTAATATAATTTTAAAGTTTTTATAAGTGCAAACATAAAGCAACTATATTTAAAAGACATGAAAAATCTACTTGTGTTCGTTATTTTTTCATTATTTAATGAGTGTTGGTTTATGATGGATTGGAAAAGCCTGAAATTGTCCTCACGGCTAATTTCATCATTAAAAAAAAAATTTCCATGATTTGCAATTTCTGATTAATATTTTCTAATTGCAACTGATTTTGTTATTGATATTATATATAATGTGATAATAATAAATTTATAAAACTAACATGCGTCAACAAATGATTAAAAGTCGCAAAGGTGGTCCCATTTGTTTAATAAATTATAAAATAAATTATAATAATACGTTATATTGTGCTTATTTATATTACAAGAAAATACAATTTGGTTTAAACTATTTTTATATATTTTTCTATCTCACCTGTATGAAATCATTGAAAATAGTAAATTAAAAACTAAAACTAAATGTGTAAATATGTATATTTCAATAATATGTATTTTGTTGAAGACTTAAAATTTATAATTTGTATATTTTTTAAATGATATTTTGGATATGTTTAAATATTTTTATATTAAAATATCAAATATGTGAAAATATTAATTTTTTTACATTTAATTAATCCTTTTCAATCTATTTGCATAGTATTAAATGATATTATGAAACTTTCGCTTATAAAGTAGAATTTACAAATATTTAAATGTTCGTATGCATGATTTCTTGTACAAAATTTATCAATTTTTATTAATTTTACAATAATAAATTAACATTTTTAAATATATTTGTAATAGGTGAAACGATCGAGGCAAAAAATTATGCAGACGTTACGATGCTTTTTAGTGATATTGTTGGCTTCACAGCTATTTGCTCAACAGCTACACCAATGATGGTCATTAATATGCTTCAAAATCTTTATCAACAATTTGATTCATACTGCGGACAACTTGATATCTACAAAGTACAGTAAAAATTAAATACTATCTACTTGCTTTATTGTATCTAATATTTTCAATATGTTTGTAATGCCATGATTGTATCTTATAATGTATATTAATTAAATTTATCTTTATTCTAAATGTTTGTATAGAATAAGTATTTTATTAAATTACTAATGTATACGTAAAAATGAAGATATTCAAATAACTGATAATACATTATTTTATATAATAATATAATAATTCACTTGTAGTTTATTACAATTTGATATAATATAAAAGAAATCATTTAAAAATTTTCGAATTTTTTAATTTAATATGTATCATATAAATAAAATCATTTTCATTTATAAATGTTTATCAGATAATAAAAAACATGCTATTAATTTTTAATTGCTTTTAAATTTTCTATTCTCATATTAACTTTTCTCATATTATACGAGTAATATTTTAATTGCATTTCATGGCATTTATTTATAGTGAAAAAATATAAATATGCTTTAACATTCATATATATATACTTTTAACATCAATAGTACCTTCTACTTTATTTCAAAATTTGTATTTAAATTAAGTATTAAAATATTTAAATACATAGTCATTTAAGGATTTAACGATTAAAAATAGAATAACAAAAAATATATTTTATTTACAAAGGGACGTCACAATTATAATATCAATTGAATAAATATTTATATGAGGGAGTTACAATATTATAAATTATAATTATACTAATTAAATCATTTTAGTTGTAGTAAAAGATTTCTGTTTTTACTATGAGCTCAAAATCATTTTTCATCGTGATTACCTGCTCCTATAGCAGTACCAACTTTTGTTTCTTCATTAGTTTATTCATTTACTTTAGTGATTATATAGATTTATTGATTATATTTGATTATTTAGTAAATAAAAATATTAATTCATTTATTAGGCTATTTGAATTTTTAACTTAATAATATTTATATGTTAATAATATTTAAATGTACAGAATATTAGAATAATAGGAAATGTTAATGTAAGAATACCTTTTACTTTAAAAATTTTGATGATGTCTAGATGTTTTGTATAGAATATATTTGATATCAGATTGTTATTTAAAAGACAAAATTTTGGAATTTATTTTTATAAGTAATTTTCGTTGTTTTGCAAGATGTTAGTTTATTTTTATTTTATGCTAACAATTATTTAAACTTTTCTAATAATATAATTTTAAAGAATTAGAAATGATAAATTTGTTCCAGTACAATTATAAAGTGAATCATTTTTAATAAACGAATCAATGTATTATATGGAATTATATTATTATTTTATTGTATTTTCAGTACTTGGATTTTTATCCTGACGGAGTGAACGATTCTTTGTTCTTTTTACATTTATTTGAATTTTTTTGACATCTTAAGGTTTATATTTATATTTTACCTGGAATTGAATTAATTTATCATATTTACTGTTGGATTGAATATTGACATTTGTGCTTATATTACTTACAATTACAGCTACTATGGTAATTCTACTTCCAATAAGAATTAAAGATTACAGATGGAGTTATATATGATCTAGATTAAAATAAAAAATTTCTATTCCTGTCTGTAAAATAAAGGGAAATTAAAATTTTTTATGGCAATTTGTAGATATTTACTTTATTATCGTTATTTTTACAATTCACTAACATATAATACTTATTTATAACTGTCAAAATTGTAAAAAAAAATTGTATTACATTTTGAAGTGCTGAAATTCATCTAAAAATACCATAATACTAATTAAATGAATTGAAAGATTAACAATATTAATTTAGCCTTAGTATAAACTTAATACATTATATTTGTATTGAAAAATAATACATATTTAATATCTAGGTGGAAACAATTGGAGATGCTTACTGTGTAGCGTGTGGCTTACACAGAAACACAAATACTCATGCACAACAAATTGCATGGATGGCATTAAAAATGATTGAAACTTGTAGTGAACACTCCACTCACGATGGCAAACCAATAAAGGTATGATAGTTATCTCTACTGTCTAATAAAAACATTGTATCAATAATTACTTATCATTTATTGATTATAAAATGTTTCAAATCATTTGCATATCAAATATTTTACAGAGGATATGTGTAATATATCAATAATGCATATTTTTCGTGATTTATTCTTATACATTTAGTAATCATATCAGATTAGTAATACTATATAATTATAAAAATTAATAACAAAATACTTTTATTTAGAAATGTTTATAAGAAAAATATTTTATATGTATAAATCAAGTTACAATTTTAACATTGTTTATATTGTTAAATAACTGTTTCTAGTATTTTAGTTATCTGTCTTTTAATTGCAGATGAGAATAGGGATCCATACGGGAATGGTATTAGCTGGTGTTGTTGGTAAAAAAATGCCTAGGTATTGTCTTTTTGGTCACAATGTAACTGTGGCAAATAAATTTGAATCAACAAGTGAACCACTTAGAATCAATGTCAGCCCTACTACGTATAAGTAAACAAAATTTCTCATGTTTTTATAATTATTCCTTATCCCCAACATTTTCTTTGTAATCCTTACAATTGAAAATTTATAAAAAAAGATATTATGTTTACTAATTTAGAATTTAGAATTTAGAACCTAATATCTGCATGTACGTTAATCTCCGTTCAAGAAATTACGAATTTATTATTTTAATCAAATTTTACTTATTTATCTTTAATTAAATATGTATTATAATATAATTGTACAACAATATATTTAATCGTAGGAATTATTAGAAATTTAACATACATTGTATTCTTCATGATATATTGTTTATTATAAAATTTTCTATTAAATAATAAAGAAATTAATATAGAATTTCTTAATGCAGTTTCACATAACTTTTTTTAGATTTTTAATTGAAGAGCCAGGATTTGTGCTAGAACGTAGATCTAAAGAAAATTTACCAAAGGAGATGTCACGTAATACAGAAGGTACTTGTCATTTCTTAAACAATTACAAACATCCAAATATTGATAAATATGAACCATTGGATCTACACATACAAGCAGCTTTAAATGATCTTGGAATCATTAGTACTACATAAACTCAGTTATATATTCATTATTATTAGAAATTACAAATTTTTCAATTATAATATAAAATATAATGTCAATATAATAAAAGAACTGCAAATATATATTCAATTTATGCAAATCTATAGTGTAATAATATTCATAATACATGCATAAGATTATTATTATAACATAAAAATAGTATTGTTGTTATAATTGTTGTTAATTTTTCTCAGTATAAATGTTACAAATAAATCAAATGAAAGCTCATGTTAATTTAATTTGAATAAAAATACCAAAAATATAAAAATTACTTATAAGAAACATTTAGTATTATATATAAAAATAAATCTGTTTAAAAAATTGATATTTCATTTTCGATATTAATTTCTTTTAACAGTTAAAATTGTATTATAACAATTATATGTAATTTTATTTTTAATTTCTCGTGACTTTTTGCGTCAAACATTTGCTTAAAAAATATGTATAATATAAAAGCATAACTAAGTAAAAATATATGTTTATATTATTTATATTTTTATAATATAATATATATTAATTTAAAAACATTTCATTTCTATGATATATTCCCAATGTAATAATATGTATAGAAAACGTCTATTACTTATTAGTGTTAAATTGAAACACAATGAGTCCTTAGGTAATAATATTGTTTTTTATTTATTAACTAAATTGAAATTACATCATGAAATATTTTTTGAGCGTGGAAAAAATGTGATTAATAATTTTACATTCAATCGAATTAATAGAATTTTATTGAAATATTCTATAAATTACAAATATTTAAGATAAAATAATTTAATAAAAAATTACTATCAATATAAATTCAAATTATAAATTTATGTTTATAAAATATTGCATTTGTGTATTAAAATTAAATTTAGACGATAGAAAATCATAATTAGGTACGAAGTTCTGGTAGAATATTTCCATTTTACGTTGTTTACATAATTCTGTAGGTGTGGTATGAAATAGATATTTGAAATTATAAGATAATGAGCTTACCAAGATCTATTTCTGATACATCTGTTTTTAATACATAAGTGTAATAAAAATATAAAGGATTGATATCCTTTAAAAATTGTACGCATTTTTTTTTAGTTAAAAAAACCAATTGTACCAATTAAAACTGTAATTTGTAACTATAAATTAGAGCAAAAACGTGAAGAAAATCATAGTCTTTGTACATTAAAGCAATACACCTAAACATATATTATCTACTGATATTTTACCTAATTTATTAAAAAATTTTAGTTTATATTTGTATTTATTTAATAAATTTTTTACTACATAATAATTATCATTTCGAACTTTTATTTTATAATTTACAAACAATATTATGTTACAATTCAGCACATAAATTTATTGAATTGCTAACATACTGTTTTCTCGTTTTATAACCTCTGCATCACCAATATCAAATTAATATCAAGATTTAAATAGTGATTATTTAAATGCAAATACTATATGGTTAATTAAATTTATAAAAACAAAATTGCTATATAATATTGTCAGAAAAAGTCTCATTAGTAAATAGAATTCAAAGGCACTCGAAAGTTGAATAAACGAGACAAACAGAGAGACAACCGCGTTAGATAGATGATGCGTTAGGATAACATAAATATAGCCAAAGCAAAACTACTTCACTAGTAATTGCTTATATTTGTGATGTTTAAATCGTTATCAACAGGCGATCCATAACCGAAGAATTTTCAACAATATTATGATATTAGATAATATTAGCCTTCTGACTTTTACCAAATATATTAAGAAGATTAACAAGGAAAGAACAATAAAAAACTATAAAAATACTTCATTTTAAAAATTATATTTAGTTTTCGGTGATGGTCGAAAATTTCATTACGTAATTTTAAACGTAATTCAAACGCAACTCATCTTTTCATAAATTTCTAAAAGTAATGGAAAAATTGCAAATAATAAAGAGCGACAAATAAAATGAAAAACAAATAAAGCATTTATATGGACAGATGAAGAGAGAAAGGGCTAAGGAGAAAATTAAAGAGAAAATAAGGGTTTGATGAAAAGACTCGCTAAAAAAATGGAGAAAATGGGGTTCAATTAATATAAGCTATAGGATACCCGCTTGCAATTGATATTTATGTAAATTGCTCGTTGCTTTTCCAGTTTCTGTTGAATCCTGCACGTATATAATCGACCAGTCTGTCGCGCAGCATAAAACTCTCACTGGCCATACCAAGAACGATTTTATCAACAATTTTGTGAACAATTGTATCATTAATCGGCAGCAAAGGGCGTTTTGAATCCTTTCAAGTTTAAGACGCCTAACTTTAAGATCCCGCCCAGTACTAGTTGTTCGGCAGTTGTCCGTAAGGGTGCGCAACTAATGCTAGTAGGAAATGACGAAAACTAGTAGACGCTCTTAGTGGAGTACTGCAGTTATTGGTATACCGGAATCGCCTTAGTGCCTTAGTTGTGATTAATGGTATTGTTTTGCATTCGTTCCTTCTTAGTCACAGTTTTCGTTTACTCGCATAAGCATTTGCGAAAAGTGTTGTTTGTAATGAAGGCAGTACATTTGTCGCAAGCGAAGCAAAAAAATGATAAAACTCAACGGATATATTTACAAAACAATAATAGCTATGTAGTAAACGAGTAAAGATTATGTTGACAAAAGAAGCTGGTAAAAGGTTAGGAAAATACACGTTCGGGAAAAGGCGAAACTGAGGTCGAGAGTCCTGAAAAAAAATGCGAGTTTCGGAGCGTCTTGGACCACGTGATTATTCGCGTCCACATTGGGATTAACGCTTATGAGCAATCGAGAGTCCAAAGTGTTTGCAAAAGTTTCAACGATAGATTGGTGACTCAACCAGCAAAATATCTTGACACTGCGTTTGTTGCGACGAAACTGACAAATAAAAAGGTATTTCGCAGTTGGAACAAAAGTATTAAGGTTTTACTTGAATTTACGTACGCGTGTGGATTTTTGCTCAGCCACCTTTTATGCTATTGTTGTTCTGGTTAAATTTTTACGTTCATTCTCAAGAATCGCTCCGATGATTTCATAGCTATTTGAAAGCTTCGATTATCGCTAATATTTTAACAGGCATTTGTTAAAAAATTTTGTAAAAAGACGAAAAATGCATTTTTCACTTTGGAATTACTTGTGCAGAATTTTACACAAAATCTAAGTGTAACGCGCATCAATTTTTTTTTTTTTTTTTTTTTGCCAAGTAACTTCAGTTTTTCCAATGTATGTATGGCATGAAAGGCTTAAAGGGCTGTTATAAATTGTGTTTGTTCTTATTCCTCTTTTGACGGTGGAAGTGTTTATTCGACAAATTTTTCTGTATGACAAAACGCCGGACAAGGAAAGAGGAGCGTTCATGAAATTGGACAAGACCTTTTATAGTGGTAAGTAGTTTTTTTTATTTCTTTTCACTTACTAACAGATTAATCGTATCGTTTGATTTTATTTCTTACATCCTTTATTCACTTATCTATTCTAATGCTATATCTTATAAATCTTTTAAGAATATACGTCGAAAGTATAAAAACAATATTATCTAATATTTTATGTTTTTAATATTTAGTTATTTAATGTGCTTTAATCTCGCAATGTGATAATACAAAATATACGTATTGAAAATATAAAATTTAAATGAATTGCATTATAAAACAAACGATTTTTCATTTTAAATACACTAACTATTAATCATCTATGATTACATATATAAATCACGTTTTAATGCAATAGTCAAAAATATAAACAAAAACATTGATTCTAGTTAAAGATTAAAAGTTATATTTATCACATGCTCTATTTCTTAAAAAATTATTTTAAAAAATATTAAAATCAATAATAATTACTGATTAAAAATTGCCAATGATATAAAAAGTTAAAATAATCATTGGAGATTTGTATGCAATTCCGATTCATATTTCAATATTGAAATTATATTAATCAAAAAATGACCCAACCTTTTGTACTATTGGAATTCGAATTGTTTAAATAATTATACAGATTGAATAATTTCGAAATAGGTATGAATTATTAAAACTGAATTATTAAAAATTGTAGAATAAAATTTCATAAGAATATCTTGTTACGCATCAAAAATATCAATTTATAATCATTTTCCGTAAGCTTAGAAGTACCGCATATAAATATTTAGGTAAATGTTCAATACTCATTTAAATAATGTACTTAAAAATCATATACATTATAATCAAAATCGTCTAGCATTTGAATCATTAAATAAATTTTTAAAAATTATTGTCATCTCAAGATTATACTACTACATAATCAATAAAAATGTGACATTAAAAAATTATTAGAAAATTTTATATGTTAACTATTTCTCATATGTCTCGTACAATGTCTCAACGTGCAATAGAATATAGATTATGTAAAAATATAATTGAAATATGTTTTTCCATTCTTCTATATTAATGTCAACAAATTATATATATATATATATATATATATAATCAAGTACGCAAAAATATTCTCATACATTCTCATTCGCTGACGCATCGTGTAAAGCCTTAATTTCCACGTTCATCAAATTTAAATGAATCCAATTTCTACTCATTAAAAATCTCTCACGAGTATGAAGATTTCTCATCTTTACCAACATTTAAATTAAACATGTGATAAATTATATAATTTAACACTGTGATAGACATATATCATTATTAAAATATCATCAAATATCGTTATTATTATTGTATTTAATGTAATTTGTATTTAAACAATATTTTTCTTTAGAGAATTTATACGAATATATGCTTGTATATAATTATATGCGTGTTTAAATCGTGCAAGCACAAAAACGATACGTATTATAATATTTCTCTTAGCAGTAATAATAATTAATACAAATCGCTTGTTATTTTCTAACAGAATAATACTGAATAATTTTTTGTTTTACAGATTGTTCAATTATAAAAAAAATAATTAAATTATTTTATTTTTATAATTATAATATTTTAATTATTTTTCATTAATTTTTTAATTTAAACAACTATACAATTTTAATTTATAAATTCGTATTTCTCTTTAAG